CCTTTTCTCATATTCTCATATTTTTAGCTTTTTCCAGGGGAAAAAGTGTTTCTCTGATCCAAATGACCACGATGCTTTCACCGCTTGCTCTGAGATTCAGCCCAATCCTGATCACCACCGGCAGGATCTGGCCCCCGGTGGCTTCGCCTTTGCTTATATTTTAAATGGTAAATCTTGAGGCTATTGAAAGTGATGCTATCCCACCAGCCACAACGAGCGTGCAGTTATTTAATAGCTAAAACAGACAGACGTGGTCAAATTAACACTGCTACCCGGCTCCGTCCTTATAAATAATCCCAATGATTTTACGGCGGCGCTGAGATTCTCCACTCCCGACTCCCGAAATTCTTTCACTCTATTCTATTCACCGAGTCCGGCAGGATGATATTTTTAGGCATGAATTAAAATGCCGTAAAAGCAAATATCTTCCAGGCACTTGTCTTGGAGTCTCCAGGTTCCCTGTTCCCTTATGAGCCAAAGAAAAAAAAAAGGGGGAAAAAAGCTGCCAGTCCCCAGCTTTCTCACCCATCCCCAGTTCATTATTTGTAAAGCTTAAATCAACACACGGCGTTGTCTCCTGCTCAACCTGGAGCAGCTGTATGTTATCAGGACGGGACAGATAAAGAGAACAATTTTTAAAAATAAAAACGATAACGTAAATACATAATTTCAAGGGATTCTTAGCTAGAGCTGCAAAGCAAATGACAATTTTGCCACTGAAACATCAACAATTAACTCTTTTACTTAAAAAAAAAAAAAAACCTTTTTTTTTTAAAAAAAAAGGAAAAAAAATATGCAATGACCTTCTGATAAGGACACGTCAAACAGCCTGAGGAACACTCAGGATTTTGAAAACTAAGCGGGTGCTGCACCGAAGGGGCAGGAGCCACGCTGTGCGCAGGGCAGGATGCTCAGCCACCCCCGGGGGCTGTAGGGTCAGCTCCCAGGGGACTCGGCCCAGCCCCAACAGCCTGGGAAGGGCCTCGATGCCCAGCGTGTGTCCGGGGACCATCCACGTCCCCCAGCGCAGGGTCCCGGCAGCCTTTGCAGCAGCAACGTGTGCTTGCGAGGGAAAAAGCAGCGTTCATCGCTCAGCGCACCAACAGCCGGTTTGGGGAGATGTACGAAGAAGAGCACTGAAGACCCAACCGTGACTGAAAACAAGCTGATTGAGAAAAATGAGCTAAAATGCTAACATCTTGTGCCGCACGTGAAAACGTTCGGCTGCAGCCAGGGGCAGGGCTGACCCTTCCCGGCTCCCAGCCGCGATTTATTATTGAGCAAAAACCCGGAGCGTGCAAAGCCTTGTGAGCTGTGGGAATGATTTTGTGCGTGGTGGGTGCAGCAAAACTCTCATTTTTAGTATCATTGTTGAGGAAGGAGTGATTCTGACAGGAGGGAGCATTAATTACACTGCAATTAACCGCACTGCACCCCCCCAGGAGCTGCCCCAAAAAGGCAGCAGCAATCCCGGCCAGCTTCCATGGCACGATTGGATCTGGCATCCATGTTTTGTGCCATCGATAACAACCCAAATAATCATTTTTTATATCAAAACAAAGAGGTATCAGCACATCCTGGCTGCGGGAGCATCTTTATTTTTTAGGGAATTCTGCCCGAAGCCAAATCTTGCCATTTTGCCCCCAGACAGAGCCATCAGAGAGGCGGCTTTCACAGCGTGGCAAAGGCGAGCAGGAAAATGTTTCCCCGCGTGGGAAGGCAACGTGCCAGGGTCAAAATGGGTCTGTCACCGAGCTGGGGAGCTGCTCCGTGGGCAGCACGTGAGGTCAGAGGGGCCGGGTGCTATCACTGCCTGCCTCATGAGGCCAGCACCCACCAAAGATCCCTCGGCCGGGTGCTCCCACACCGCCCGCAGAGGGACAGGAGGCACCACGGCGTCAGGAAGGAGCAACGCACCCGGGTTCGTGGGGTGAGCCCCCAGAAAACCCCAATAAATCACAGCGTGTTGCAGCACACCAGCCCTGATGTATGCTTGTATTGCTGCGCTGCGTTTGTAGGGCTGGAGGGAAAAATCCCCCCAAAGCCCCACGCAGCTGCTGTCCCCTTTGCTGCTAAAACCTCACCCCGTTCGCTCTCCGCTCGGAGCCTTGCAAGGATTGTTCCCTAAAAAACAGGGGGTTGATTTAGCACGAGGAATAAAAACATCAAACGAGGACCAGCACCCGCAGGCTTCTTGCTAAAAATCTTTCCTGGTACCTGGGCTTGCCACTTAGGATAAAACAATGTTAATTCTTCAAAAAGAAAAGAAAACTTCCATCCTGGCGTAAAAGCACCAACAGCTTGTCACTTTAAAGGAAACTTCTAACCTTGCAAAATGACTGTGATTAATCAACTTGTCCGTATCGTCTAAATAGTCCACAGAACAGGAATTCAAAATAGTAATTCCGAAATTATAAAATTACGTGCGATAACAGAACTGGAAAGCTCCTTTACATTTCGCTTTTGTTTATTGTTCAAACTTGCCAAACTACTTTCTTTTGTTAAAACGGATTCTTTTGTAATGAAAAGGCAGAGTCCCTTTCAGCAGATGGACTTTCCGAATGAAAAATGTTCTAATTATTACACTTTTCATTAAATCAATTATCCTCCCAAATTGTTTTTGTGTTTATCTCTGCCAATCAGCAGTAAAGCCCTGGAACAATCTGTTGTCACCGTACTTTTCTCCTACAGGTACGTTTGTTCGGATTTTTGCTAGAGCAGCTCCAGCTGAGATAAGAACAATCTCCTGCCTGAGTTTTCTTTGATGTTCCTATAACAAATACGTACGTTAAAAGAGATCTGCTGAGGCTAAATTCCACTCAGGCACTAACCTAGAGCTGAAATTGCCAAGAGAAAATATTTCAAAGTTTTCCCCTTTAACTTTTATTATAAGTTTTCTCTTTTCGCTGCAAATAATGATACAAAATTCAGCATATCTCCTATTGGACTACTGCACAGTTAGCCAAAGAAAAGATACAGAAGGCTGTGAAAATGGTCTTCTGCGCCGCAGACAAGCATAAGAAACCCCAAATGCTCATGAAGAGAAATCCACAGTCTGCTCTGTCCCCCGTTCTGTCAGACAAAGGCTCTGTAAATAGGACAGGCACTTACCTTGCAACTCCCCCAAAGATAACTACTTCCCAAAAGTTTGCAAGCAACAAAATTCTCAGGGAAAGATAGCAAAAGACAAGCAGGGTCTAGCGGGGAGATTGCTTGCAAATGCATTTATTCAGAGCTCCTTCCTCCACTGCCTTTTTCTTTCTTTTTTACTTTTTTTTTAAACTTTTTTTTTTTTTTTACCCTTTTTCATGTGCCTTTTCCAGTACTTTTAAAAGACCCCTTATAAACGTAACGGCGGAACGGTGACAATGAGGGATCCACACCACCGCACAGCTCCCGAGCCGGCCACTGCCCTGAGAATTGTCCAAAAAGGACAAAAGCTGCGAATTTAAGCAGCCTCAATAAAGCACCAACATCAACACGTGAGTCGAAAAATTATGGTCTGCGGGTTTTGCACGGGAGCACCGATGGCAGCTCCTCCATCCTGGAGCCGAGAGCGCAGGGGTGGGACGCGGGGAAGGTGGGCACCTCACCCGGCTGCGTGCACATCTGCTCCCCAAAAGGGGCTTCTCCCCAAAAAAAGCCCCTCTCGCCCCAAAACCCCAAAAGCTGAGCTCTGCGCTGCTCTCCCTTTAGGTAACGTGCTCCTGCCAGCACCCCGTGCTCAGCTTTACGCACGTGAAAAAAGCAGCACGCTCATAAAACGCAGGTACCGGGTGATTCACTACAAAGGGCAATATTTGTATTTATCCAGAGATAGGACCTGGAAGGCTCCCAGGGCTCGTTTGTTTGCTTTCTGCCCTTGTGTCCCGCCGAGGCGCCTTGGTCAACTGGGCAAAGCCGGGCGGGGGCACGGAGGTGGGGCCGAGCCCCTTCCCTTCGCCCAGCGGCACCCATGGGGAGGGGGGGGACACGGAGGGACGGGACGGTGCCAGCGGGCATCCGAGGAGCCCCGGACAGCACCGGGGATGAGGGGGGGGTCCCGAAGGCACCGCGGTACAAAGGCACCGAGCAAAGCAGAGCACAGCACCCACCGGGTGCCCCCTAAAAAAAAAAAATGTAATAATATTTAAAAAAAAAGTGGATTTAGGGGATTCGGGGCTCCTGTGCCCCCCCCACACACTGCCCAGCCCCAGCAGGGGCGGTGCCCCGCAGCCCCCTCCCCGGCCGCTCCCCGCCCCCGTTCTCCCCTCGCCGTTCCTGGGCTTTTGGCGCCCCCTCCGGACGGCGCCGCGCAGCGCCCCCAAAATCCTCAACCGGCCCCTGCGCGCTGCTCCGCAGTGAAGGGGGGGGACGCAGGGACCGTGCAGGATCCTCCCCCCACCCCAGCCCCGCAGGGCTCAGCACCCAACAAAGCCCCAAACCCTTCGGCGGGGGCGCGCAAAGGAGCGGCGCAGCGCGCAGCGCTTGGGAAGCTCCGCGTTGCGCGCCCCCCGCGCCGCCCCCTTTTTGCGCGGCGCAGCGCGGAGTTGCGCGCCCCTTCGGCCCCGCCCCTTCGGCGGCCTCTCAGCCAATAGCGTGGCCGCCAGCCCCCGGGGGCCGGGCTGCGATTGGAGGAGCGCTGGCGGCCCGAAAAGGCCGCGCAGGGTATTTATTCCCGCGCAGCGGCGCGGGGCGCAGAAGCCGCGCTGCGGAGCCGCGCCGCGCACACCGCCGGGCAGCGCCCGGCCCCGCTCCTCCGCCTCGCGCAAACTTGCAAAAAAAGTTTTCCCTCCTCTCTTCTTCTTCTTCTTTCCCCCTCTGCTCGATTTTTTGGACGGGCAGGGAACGAGAAAATCATCATCATCGTCGTCGTAATAATAATAATAAAAAAAAAAAAGCAACTTTTTGCAAACTTTTTCCGGCTTTCTTCCCTCCTCTCCCCGGCCGGGCTGCACGCTGGTGGAGACTTCGCCTCTCCTCATTTTGCTCTTTTTGTTTTTTTTTATTTTTTAAACCCTCCCCCCCCCCCCTTAGCCAGCTGGTTCTTTTTTATTTTGAATTTTTTCGCCCCCCTGCTCCCCCCCTCCGCCACTTTCTCGCATGAATCTCCTAGACCCCTTCATGAAAATGACAGAAGAACAGGACAAATGTATCTCCGACGCCCCCAGCCCCACCATGTCGGATGACTCCGCCGGGTCCCCCTGCCCCTCTGGATCCGGCTCGGACACGGAGAACACCAGACCCCAAGAAAACACCTTCCCCAAGGGCGACCCGGACCTGAAGAAGGAGAGCGACGAGGACAAGTTCCCGGTGTGCATCCGAGAGGCGGTGAGCCAAGTGCTCAAGGGCTACGACTGGACCCTGGTGCCCATGCCAGGTCCGGGTGAACGGATCCAGCAAAAACAAGCCCCACGTGAAGAGACCCATGAACGCCTTCATGGTGTGGGCCCAGGCGGCCCGGAGGAAGCTGGCTGACCAGTACCCACATCTGCACAACGCGGAGCTCAGCAAGACCCTGGGCAAGCTCTGGAGGTGAGTGCGGGGCTGGGAGCGCTCGGATCCCGCTGCTTTGGGGTGGGCTGGGGCAAGGGGGGGACTGCCGGAGGGAGGCTGCAGCCTGCAGAGTCTGCTCTGGTTGTAACAGGAGGAGGAGGAGGTGGGAAAGGAGGGAGAGGAGGGTTTGAAGCTTGGAAAACTTGCTGAAAACTTTTGCATGCGCTGGCAACTTTGCTTGGTGGAAGGGAAGCCGGAATAGTAGGGGAAAAGCAGGGAAAGTGGCTCCCCGCGGCCGGCTCCTGGTTTTGCGAGGGGTTCCTCTGCCTGAGCAAGGTGTGGGTGCGACGGGGACCCCCACGGCTGGGGGGGAGAGCAGGGCCTGCCTCGGTGGGAATTTGGTCATGCTCCCGTCCGGGGAAGCGATGGTCCTGCCGGATTGCATCAGCTTCGTGCAGGAGGAGAGGAGAGGCGATGCGGGGAGGGGGTGGCAGAAACAGGGCACAGGGCGAAAGCCGGCGAGGCTGTGCCAAGCCCCGGGTGGGTGGGTGCCCTGAGCGCGCATGGCTGGGTGCCCTCCGACTTCCAAAATAAGGCAGGGAGGGGAGAAAAACAGAAGGAAAGTGAGTCACCTGGCTGCCTCTGGCTGACTGCAGAAAGGAGGGGGTGGAAATCCTAAATTTGCGGCTGCTCCCGCAGCCGGAGGAGAAAGCAGTGAGCAAATCCGTCCCTGGCAGGCAGGGAAGGAGCCGTCACCCAAAGCGCCCCGGGGACGGGGTGTGCGCCCAAAGCAGGGGGGGGCAGACTGGGAACAGCAAGGGCCAGACCCTGCCACGCTTCCTGCACCTCTCGTTTGGCCACCAAAACAATCTGGCTGTGAGGGGAAATGGGGTGACAACCAGTGTGCACCCCCAGCACGGGGGCTCAACGCTGGGGGGAGTTTGCATTCCTGGTGGGGGGGATCAGAGGGAAGGTTTGGGGATAGGATGGGCTGATGTTAATGCCATAGTGGGGAGAGCCCCTAGAGCACCCCGTAAACCAGCTGACTCCTTGCCCTGTGCCCCCCCAGGCTGCTGAATGAGAGCGAGAAGCGTCCCTTCGTGGAGGAGGCCGAGCGGCTGCGGGTGCAGCACAAGAAGGACCACCCCGACTACAAGTACCAGCCACGGCGGAGGAAGTCGGTGAAGAACGGGCAGTCGGAGCAGGAGGAAGGCTCCGAGCAGACCCACATCTCCCCCAACGCCATCTTCAAGGCGCTGCAGGCGGACTCCCCGCAGTCGTCCTCCAGCATCAGCGAGGTGCACTCCCCCGGGGAGCACTCGGGTAGGTACCCCCGTGGCCCTCTGCGCCTCTCTGAGTTAAGTCACAGCTCTTTGAGCAAGGATGCATCCCATAACAGGCCGGGATCAGGTATGGGGAGGGGGGAAAACCATGAAACAGAGCCTTAAATGCAGGGAGAAGGGGCTGGCTGTGTGGCTGCCCACCAGTCTTACCCATAGCACAGGCACAGCGGCGCTCGCCCGCATGTGCCAGCCCTTGGAGACACCTCCACCCCACTCTGCCCATGAGCAATGGGAACCTGTGCTTTAAAAAAAAATAAAAAGTAAACAGAAAGCTGTCCCTGCTCAAACAGCTTGTCTCTGAAGTCCCAGTTGTTTTACCTAACAGGATAAATCAGCACCTACAGGGCCTGGTGTTTGTGGTGCCCGCACCCGGAGCTGTTTGTGTTACCCCAAACAGCTGCTCCCCCCCAGCCAGGCGCTGCTGCCTTGCATTAATTACCCATTAACACCACGATCCCATTAAGAGCGACACCCCCTTCACGCACGTGCCCTCTCCTTCCTCCGCAGGGCAATCGCAGGGCCCCCCCACGCCCCCCACCACCCCCAAGACGGACGCGCAGCCGGGCAAGCAGGACCTGAAGCGCGAGGGCCGCCCCTTGCAAGAAGGCGGCCGGCAGCCGCCCCACATCGACTTCCGAGACGTCGACATCGGCGAGCTCAGCAGCGACGTCATCTCCAACATCGAAACCTTCGACGTCAACGAATTCGACCAGTACCTCCCCCCCAACGGCCACCCGGGGGTCCCGGCCACCCACGGCCAACCCGGCCAGGTCACCTACACCGGCAGCTACGGCATCAGCAGCTCGGCCGGCTCACCGGCCGGTGCCGGGCACGTCTGGATGTCCAAGCAGCAGCCTCAACCCCCACCACAGCCCCCCCAGCAGCCCCCGGCGCAGCACGGGTTGCCGGCGCTGAGCACCGAGCAGGGCCAGGCGCAGCAGCGGACGCACATCAAGACGGAGCAGCTGAGCCCCAGCCACTACAGCGAGCAGCAGCAGCACTCGCCGCAGCAGCTCAACTACAGCTCCTTCAACCTGCAGCACTACGGCTCCTCCTACCCCCCCATCACCCGTTCCCAGTACGATTACGGCGAGCACCAGAACTCCGGTTCCTACTACAGCCACGCCGCCGGGCAGAGCAGCAGCCTGTACTCCACCTTCACCTACATGAACCCCACGCAGCGCCCCATGTACACCCCCATCGCAGACACTTCTGGGGTCCCCTCCATCCCCCAGACCCACAGCCCGCAGCACTGGGAACAGCCCGTCTACACACAGCTCACCAGACCCTAAAAGCCATTAAAAAAAAAAAAACATAAATAAACGAGAGAAAAAAAAAAATCACAGAAGCAGCAACAAGAGCAGAGAACTTCCGCAGACTTTTCCTGCTTTGAAATCAAAATAATAATTAAAAAAATAAATAAATAAAAGACGCTCAAGTTCAAGGCGGCGGGGAGGAGGGAGCGCCTCGAGCCTTCTGCACTTCAGCATCCCCCGGGGAGTGGCGAGACCGCTCCGAGAGCCCGCGGTGCAGCAAGGACTGGACTTGGACTTGGCTTCGAGGGTGCAAGGCCATGAGATTTCTAGCAAGCGGCTCGGTTATCCGTTCTCTGGACTTTTGTAACAAGTTTTTTTTTTTTAGCAGTAATTAAAAAAAAGAAAAAAAAATGGGGGGGAAAAAAAGAGAAAACTCAGTCCTCTGTGAGGAATATTCTCTATTTTAAATATTTTTTAGTATGTACTGTGTATGATTCGTTTCCAATTTGCGGGGATTTATACATATTTTTTAGAGATTTTTTAAATGCTCTTATTTTTCCAACAGCTAAAAATGACACTTAGTGGAGCAGTCCTAGGTTTTCTTGCAGTCAGAGGTATTTTTGTATAGAGTAAGTGTCTTTTTTTTTTTTTTCTCTAAAAATAAAAATAAAAAAGCAAAACTGCGTGCTTCTAACTCGGAACAAAGCTCTGTCAGCGGCCAGCGCCAGGCGTGGCGATGGTCAGCTCTGCAGCGCGGGAGACGTGAGCTGAGCCTGTGCGGGGATGAGCATAGAAGAGGCTTTATTTTTCTAACTCGAGAATAGCAAAAAAAAATTAAAAAAAAAAAAAAAAAGCAGCCAGGAGGAGATTTTTAACTTTATTTTTTAATAACCTTGAGCCTTAAGAAAAAATAATAATAAATACAGCAAAAATAAAAATAAAAAAGTGCTATGGAGAAGCCTTAAAGCAGCCCTGTGATAATCACTGGTCCCCAGCTCTGCCCGTCCCTGCTCCCTTCACGCCCCGGTGCTGATGCAGAACCCAGCCCTGGGCTCCTTGGCTTCCGTGGGCTGCTCGAGGGACGTCAGAGAGACTTTAAATTATTTATTCTATGAGAAGAGCAGTTTTTAATCATGATTTTTTTCTTTTTTTAAAAAAAAAAAACTCCCTTCTATTTTAAGTCCTTTCAAAAGCGATTACTTTTGTTGGAGCATTATTTGGAAGGTAACCGTGCCTGTTAAATTATGGTCTAAACTGTAACCAGTTCTTTATTTATCTCTTTAATTCCTTTTTTATTATTATTATTATTATTCTTTTTGGAATCTGTGTCCTGGGTTTGTACAAACTTGTGCTCTTCCTTTTTTTTTTGTTCTTTCGTCTTAAGGATAAACTGGAAAAAAAAAAAGAAAAAGAATTTGTACAAACTAAAGATTGCAAATGTAGCGTATCACTGAATCATTTGCCTTGTTTTCTGCCTCAGCTCTCTGGGACACACGAGCTCGTGCGAGGACGAGACCCAACGCCCCGGCGGCGCCTGCGCGGGGCGGCACCGTTTTTAGCCTTCCACCCCCCCCCCCCCAAAATGGCTCGAGGTGGGGACACGGACTTTGGTGAAGCTGTGGCTGAACAGTTAAGGATTGCTTTTTAAAAAAGACAGCAAACTTTTTTTTTTTATTTAAAAAAATTATATATTTGTTAACATTTTTTTTTTTAGGGATTCAGTAGAAGAAAAAAAAATCTTAAAGCACTCTTATAATATGGCATCTTTCTATTTCTGTATAAAAGCAGATCTTTTTAAAGTATTTCTGTAACTTAAAAGACCTGTCATTTAAATCATATTTTGTCTTTAGGTAAGTTTTTGTTTTGTTTTGTTCGCAAGATCCTTCTCTTCGTGAAACTTACCTTTTTTTTTTTTTTTGTATATTATTGTTTGCAATAAATATACGTTGTATTAAAAGTTAACCCCCCTCTCCTGGTGTCTGAGTTATTGGCAGCCTTCAAGGAGAGCCCTAGCAGGGTGTGACTTCACCGGGGGGGCACTGGGGGACCCCCACTTGTACCAGCACAGACCCTGGAGCCCAAATCCTGCCCTGTCCCTGCTGCTCTCACCCAGCTTTGTGCCAGTCGTGCCTGGGTGGGGGTCCCCACCTTGCACCCGTGAAGCCCCCCACCTCTAAGGCAGCCTCAGCTTGGCCAAGGCAGTCTGGATTCTCCAGAAAAAGCTGAAATTCTCCCCAAACAAGATAAAGCTGATCGCAACCATGCATGGTGCCTAACCCCATAGCTTTGGGAGCTGCTGGTGCACAGCCCGGTGCATCCTCTGCCCCGCGGAGCACGGTGCCAACACGGCTGTGACAGCACCAGCCCAGGCAGGTCCCTTCCCTTCCCTCCCAGGGCACAGTTATTCACCTGTGAAAAGTGGATCTTGTAAAAATGCGATAACCTGACCCAGCAGTGCCCCGGGAGAGGCTGGTGAGCGTGCATCAGCCCCGTGCCCCGAGGCGAGCGCATGGCAGGACACCTTGGGATCCATCCCACAGCACCTACAGGGCACAGCACGAGGCAGAAGCTGCGTTTTGCAAATGCTGCCTGATCCAGCACAAGGTGATTTCACCCCACTGCTGCTTCTCTCCCTGCCTAAAAGCCCACCCAGTCCTCAAGGGAGCCCCTCACCGCAGGGGCTGCCTCTGGCTGCAGCCCCAGCCCCGAGCACAAAGGGCCCCGCGAGTGCATGCCCGCCCTGCAAAGCCTCCGCGCCGTTGTAAAATATTTACTCTCGCTACAAGTAACACTTAAGCCAATTAACTGAAAGGGATTCATTTACTCTGTGCATTAGTTAGGGTCAGTGTCACTATTTACCTGTGCAGTCAGCCACCGCGGCTGGTGGGAACGCTCCGGTCCCTGCCCTGTCCCGTCCCGCTGTGGGTTTGGGTTTCCCTGCCCCAACTGGATTTCGCCCTCTGGGAGCTTTGGCTTCTCCTCTCCTTTGGGAAGGAGAACACCTGCAGCTCCCGTGATGTGGTGAGGAACCATCCAGGAGCACCCACGAGGACTTGGCAGCCCCATCGGGGGCACGGTGCTGCGGGGAGCCCACAGCAGACGAACGGCTCCATAACGCAGCTCAGGCACCAGCTGTAACTTGGGAATGAGCTGGAAAACATCCCAAAAATGGGACAGCAGCCACAGCCTGCCTCACCAGGGGGACCCCAGGCAGCCCCCATGGCATGCACTGAGTGTAGTGAGAAGGGGAAGGTGGGAACAGGGCATGGTGGGGACGACCCCAAGTGCCACCCCAATGGGAAGAGCCCGAGCTGCTTGGTGGTGGCACTTCTGTCCCAACACAGCCGTGCCCAGCTCCCCCCAGTGACACAGAGCCACCTTCCAGCTGGGAGCACCCGGGGAAATCCTCCTTACAAGAAACCAAAAGAGCAAAGCTCGTGACCCAACCCCGGACCTGTAATTCCTCCACTGTTGACTTATGGTGTGGGCTTTAAGGCCTCGGACTCAGAGCCAAGCTGGACCCGGCTCCTCGGGCAGCGCCAGGCTTCCTGGCCCCCACCGCAGGGCTCTGCCCCTCTGGGGGCACCCATAGAAAGAAAAAAAAAGAAAAAAAAAAGAAAAAGAAAAAAAAAAAAAGCTGCAGAGCTCCAGGCACTTTGTGCTAGAAAGCAGAGCAGAAGGAGGGGTGGGGAAAAAAAAAAAAAATGAATTCAAGGGAACTCTGACAATGCTGCAGGGCAGGTTTGAGCCGCAGCAGATAACAGCGGGCGCAGGGACAGATGTGCAATGCTGCACAGCGGGTTTGGGAAGCGCCAGGGGAGTGGCGGCAGCGCTGCGGGGCAGGGCAGGGTGGGGGGCACCCCTTTGAGCCCCCCCCAGCTCCTGCAGAAAGCCTCAGGTTTGGGGCCAGCTGCACAAAGGTCTGGGGCTGCAGCGGGCAGAGCGAGGCTGAGCCGTGCTGGCAACTCAGCGACGGGTTTTCTGTTTTCAGCGGTTCAGAAAAAAATATATTTATATTTTAAAGAATGGGGGAAAAAAAAAATCGGAGAGGCCCCGGGGAGCACGGCAGCACGGCCCTATAACTCCCCGTTGTGCCGGGCTCCGTGCCCGGCCGGCTCCAGCCACACACGGGCTCCGCGAGGCGGCTGCCTGCAACGGTGGCAGCTGCTCAGAAACGGCGCTGGGGCTGGCCTTTCCTCGGCCAGCTGTTCAACGTTGCCATCGAATTAAAGCCGGAGATTTCTCCCAGAGAGAAGGAAGGCGAGATCGCAGCCAGCTGCGAGCCGGGATCCTGCGATCGGCCGGGGCTCCTGCCCAGCTGCAGCGCTCAGGCCACGTAACGCGGCCATATATCACGGCCGGGGCTCGCTGCAAGTCAAGGGACATTTGCTAGGGTTTCTCTTCCCCTTTTTCAGGGCCCAGTTCCAGGAGTTAGCTGAGGTGGAGGTTTAGACGTCAAAGGGAAAGGAGCGAGCTGGGCTTCCCCCCGCAGCACAGCGTTAGGGGGTCCCAGCCTCAGCGAGGGAACTGCTCCCACCCCGGGAGGTGGCTCCGGGAGGGGACAAACGAAGCCCCCAGCCCCTGCCGACACCAAGAAAAGCTGAGTGAGATGCTTGGATTTGCTGCTGCTGAGATAAACCCACCTGGAAAAGGTGGGGAGAGAGGAGAGCTGAGACACGAAGCATAAACGGGTCCGAGGAATAAGAAAGGACACTAAAAAAAAATAAATTAAAAAAAAATATATATATATATATATATATATGGGATCCTGCAGCCCCCTGCTGCCCCCCCAGTGATGGGGAAGACAAAGCCAGCTCCTTGCAGACGTAACCCCCCAGAGCAGGAGAGCCCAGAGCCACCCGGCCATGCGGCAGCCCCAAAACTTCCCAGGACCAACCCCACAGACACCGCAGCCGGCGTGGGCACAGACATGCCGTAAGTGCTACTGTAATATAAATAATTGATCCTCGGGTGCCCCGGGGGCTGTAAAGCCCTCAATGGTCGGCTCCTTGGGTCAGAGCCCGCGTCTTTATTACGTGTTTGT